TGGGATCTCCCCAGAAAGAATTGTAATAGAATCCCATTTCATTGCAAGCTAATCAATAATTATTATTGAGGCTTTATGGTAATTATGTTTTTTTTGAGATTTAAATACAAAAGAAAATTGTGGGTCCCAGTTACAGATGTTCTCTTGTCTTGCTTCACGTAAAGGCTGCTGGCCAGGTCCCAGTTTGCCAATGAAATCCTTCGGTTATGAGAGATACAGGTCGCGGGCCCCACCTCCGGTTTTGTTTTCTTCCTCTCACGCACCATGCAGCGGCAGAATTAGCCAGACCTCACCATTTGCACGAGCCCTTAATTTTTGGGGGGCCGGGGGGGAACCCGAAAAATCTCGATTACAAAATTAACCTAATTATGAAATAATCAAAATGCCCGAGTTTTTAATGGGAGTGAAAAAAAATAAAACATGAAATCCCAATATGATGCAAAATTATACTACTTCCTGTCTTAATTATAAGAACTAGTTGACTAATTTTAGAAGATTAAAGAAATAAGTTAAATTAGTTATTTGTAATAAATAAGTATTTTTTAAAATATTCTTGCTAATCAAGTGTATTGGTTAGAACTAATATTATTAAAAGAATTACTTTAGAAAAAAAATATATAAATATAAGAGACAAAATAAATTGAGATATTATATTTAAGACCAAAATAAAAAAAAAGATATTATATTAAGAATAGTTCGTATATTGAAGTCTGACTAATTCATATTAATTGAAGCAAGTCATCAGCCAAAGATTTCCCTGGTAAAAAAAGAAGAAGCAAAAAGATATTTTCTACCTTTAGAAATCTCAAATCTCATAATTAAATAGCTATAATCATCCTTTCTATTATGAACAATATCCATTTCTAAAATAAACCGGATGGTATGATCACGTGAAATCTGAAAATTGAAATGATATGGAATTTTGACTAATCGAACTTGAATCCTAAACAATGGGTAACTCTATTGAAAATAAAATAAAATATTGTCTTTCTTTACAAATGTCTTGCGTTTAAATAGTCATATTCCTTTCCATTATGATCAATGCTTATGGCCAAAAATATGCTTAAATCTCAAAAAGTCTTGTAAAATGTGTTTGGGATCCCAATATTACAATCATGTGCAAGACTGTTTATAAATTATTTAAAACAAATTACAAACCCAGCAATATTTTTTCGTGGTGTGAGATCCCAAAATAGATGTTCCAATTTCTTACCTAGATAATAATTTTTAAATATTAAAAAATTAATTAAATTAGTTATTTGTAATAAATAGATGTTATTTTTCTTAAAATACTACCATTAATCATGTGTATTTGAATAGTAACTTCTTAACATATATGACTCGTTTGGTATAATGAAAGAGTTTTTGATGGAAGTGGAAGTGGAAGTAGAAGTGGAAGTGGAAATGAAAGTGGGTTCTAAAACATGTTTGGTATGAGAGTGGAAGTGGGGTATAATTTTTAATTAAAATATATATTTATATTGTAAAAATACTAAAATACCCTCAATAGGGGAAAAAAAAATCCACTCCCACAGTCACGACCATCCACTCGCGCATGACCACCGGTGTTCACTAGAAAGAAATCGTTCATTGCTGGTGATAGTTCATCAACCATTAAACGATTAATCCAAACTCAATCATCAATCCAAGCAATATATAAATCAAATCCAAATACAAATATCAGCCATCAACACAAAAAAATTTCTGATCACTGTCATTCATTATTCGTCTTCACCCAAAACAGCGATGCCCCAAGACCGCCGTCAACCTCCACAACCTCTGGCAGCCATGGAGGATGATTACAAGAAACTGAACCCCATAAACAAGAAATCAAACCAAATCAAGCAATAGAAAAGGAAATCAGATACTAGAATAAAAAATAGTCTTCTTCTTCCTTACGCTTTCCAGTTCAACCAACGAAGATAATGATAAAATTTTTCCATGGTCCAAGCTGAACCTGAACCAGAAACAACCATTTCCAGACCTCCGCAACTAGATCTAACTTTCCACAAGATCTAATTTCAACTCAAGCAAGAAAAAAAATCCCGCCAATGAATGTCATCACCTATCCGAGAATGAAATTGAAATCGAAGTACTTGGAAGTTTCTTCTCATTGCATCCTTCTCTGATTTAAAATCAAAATCAAAGCACTTGGAAGCTTGGAGGTTGCCGCGAATGAGCACCGTTACCGTCGCGAATGAGCATCGTTACCGTCATAGGTGAAGGTCGTAGCCACTGCAAGTGAATGTTGTTACCTCACCATTGCCATCGCGGATGAAGGTTGTCGCCAGGGAACCTTGAAAGTGGAATCTCAAAGGTTGTTCGGCTGAAAGCTTCAAGGGTAAAAAGGGAAAATAAAATGGGTTCCATGGAAGTGTAGTCAGTTCCCCGGGTTGGGCCTGGAACTGAGTTCCATCATTTTTGATGGAAGTGGGTTCCCTGAAGAAGTGGGTTCCATGGTACCAAACAAGCAAAAATCATGATTCCACTTCCACTTCCAATTCTTCAGATTCCAGCACACCAAACGGGGCAATACAGTCACCACAAGGATTATTAGTCAAGGGCAAAATGTAGAAATATAAAAGATAAAGTAGATTAAGAGTTTATATATACATAGTTAGAATCGAATTGAATTTTCAACTAACTCTTATATTAAAGATTAGAGGTAGTATTTTACTTTTCTAATCCTTACTGTAAGATTTATTTAATTATTAATTCTGAAACAAAATTAATAAATATGATAGATAAAATGAATTAAAATTTCATATTCCTGCATTTTAAAATCGGAGGAGCATAGGCCTTTTAAGAATATTTTAGTAAATTTAACAAGTCGAAGGATGAAAATCATCAGTGTCAATTATCTGTAATGGTAAGTGAGAAATGCTTTCTGAATGGGAGGATCTTATTGGAAATCTGCTGCGCAGTGCGCACGCCAAAAGCGCACTTTCCTTCCCTGCCCGGTGGGGCGGGCTGGCTGGCTGGCTGGCTCTATCCTGCCCTCACATAAATCGCTCACATGGCTCACCAGACTTGCAAACACACACTTCACACTCACATTTCACACACACCTTCTTCCCCAAGACACCCACACTGGCGCCACTGGTATGCTCTTTTTCTCAGTAATTTCTCCCCCACACATATATGCACAGTACGAATGTTTGTCAGGGTGTGTATATGTATATTTGAGTAACTCGACTTTGTTTCTACCATCTATCTAGGTTTCTCGTTCTTGCCGCGGCTTCTTGTTAGAGTAGTCGCAAGCATTGCAGGTACTATTTCTTCCTCAATCCGCCTTCGGTTCTTCGTTTAGTTCCCCCCTTTTCTTCCCCATTCTGATCTACTTGAGCCATTTTCCACTTGCATACATTTGTTAATTTTTGATGTGATGCATAATCTTAATGTGCTTGATGTATTAGTTGGCGATTTTTCTTCAGTTTTTTTATTAATTGTGTGTGATGGCTGAATTTGGGGTTCCGCCGTGAAGACTGAAGACAGTTGAAAACGAAGAGTAAAGGGGCTTTTACTATCATGCCCTTTATTATTCCATCCCATTTTGCTCAAACTTTTAATAAGTTCGTGAAGTCCAAATCTATGAATCGACCTGCATGTGCAACTGTGCAGCATTAATCACAGCTCAGCCAACTAAAAAAAATGTTGAGGATTTGTTCGACAAACGCGTACCCAAATCCTTGTCAGAAATATCCTTACGCGCGCGCGCGCGCGCGCGCACACACATGATACTATTAATAATTTGGATGAGAGGGTGATTTATATAATTCGTCCACCTATCTCTTTCTGTGTAGTTGAAGCAGAGTATTGCAGAACTGTTGCTTCACGTCCACGTAGTATTAATTTAATGCTGTGATTTGTCACTAGCATCATGTGGCCACCAGTTCTTACAGCTTCGCTGTTGCTGGGTCATGCCAGGGATGGGCATTAACGGTACAAGTTTGTTCGATGATAAACACTAAAAAATGGAACGGATCAGAATTGAACAGAAATAGTCTTTTCCCGATCTGATTTGATTTGTTTGTTGGACTGGTCAATTGAATCTAATGTTTTTTTTTAATACATTCTCATAATTAAATATTTTAAATTTCACAGAAATCCAGATGGAAATACTATTACTGTTTGGCATATCCTAGAGTACTGTATGATATGATCCCAAAATAATACAAAGTGGCAGATTGTGATAAAACCCCGTTTCTTCTTCAAACAAAACCATTTCCTTTTGACGAGACCCTGGCTTGGCACTAATCTGGCACTTCTACATTTTACATTTAGCTTTAGCTTTAACTTCAGTTGCTGGCAATAATTTCATTTTTGGCTCTCTTACTTTTTTCTTTATCTTTCAATCAGTCACTAAAAAGAAACAAACTTTCAATGATTCAATCAAAACAACCCAAATCATCAACTTGTAGCACCTTCCCTTATTGAGTTGAGACCGTTCATTACGCATGATTCTCACCCATCTTCTTTCATTGTCCTATTGACGCGTTTGCCCTCCCTTTTTTGCCTCCTGCCTCGCCTTCATTCGTCAACGGTCCTCTCATCCTAAAGAAGATAATCATGGCGGTGACAACCCTGGTTCCCCACTAAATTGGTCTAAAACAGAGCCAAATATACTGAAAATAGTTAAAAAGATTAAAAAATTTGGTTAGCTACAACACATGCTATATCCTCATTAGATTAAGAAGCATGTGGTCAATCTACGAAAAATATGTGGTTAATCTATCAATTGTATATGATGTTATTACTGGAAAAAGTTCTTGCCATTTTCTGCAAGTGGAAGACAGGGAGGCTAGTTATTAGAGGGGGCCTGAAACAAACGAATAATACAACATAAATAGAGGGAAACAGCGCAAGTTAAGGAATCGTTCCAGTGAAGTATGTTTTTGTTTCCCCGTCAGATGAATGAATTGAAATTTGAAACATTAGTTTCATCTGATGATACTGTTATTGACGAGGGTAGTAATGTTACCAGAGTATCATGTGAATACTTTACATGTGAGTGCATCTCGAGGAATCGCCCATGATCTATGACAAAATCGTATACAGTCCTTTCGGAAACTCAAACACATGATACCTTAAGTGGAAGGTACATATCTATATATTAATTTAAGAACCTATTGCAATTAACTTTGGATGAGGATCAAAAGAAACAAGACACATGTCTAATTATATTTAATTCTGTTGTTGGGATAGTACTAAAAAATGTGCCTCCTGGTTAACATTATGAATGCAGCAGATCCCCACCTACCCTGGATCTTTTTAGCTTCTCTATATAACTCCTTCCCATCTATTCTGCTCCCTCGCTCTCGTCTTTCTCTCTCATTCGGTAAATTCAGTTTCAAAGCTTCCCTGCTGCTTCTAAGGATTTGGGATCATCTTCAAGATCACACATTCTCAGAAGCTTAGTGGTGGTAAGTCATCTTTTAGATTTAGAAACTATGCGTCTTTCTCCTCCCTGTCTCACACTGTCGAATCTGAAAGTTTCTTGCATTAAAGCACGGCTTCGAATGCGAACACTAGAGCATGCATCCTTGTTTTCATAACCATTTACTGCAATCTTTATGTATATACTGACACACACATGTTGGATCCTCCAAATTTGATCTCTTGCCGTTCTGTGTTGGGACAGGAGTGCCTGTGAGCAAGACAGAAGAACAAAAATGGAAAAGGCTCTATTAGATAAGAACATAGAGGTGGCAAACGAAGAGGATTTACACATAACATGGCGTGTGTTTGCTAAAGAAGTCAAAGAGGTTTGTTGTGTTGCAGGGCCTATGGTGACTGTGAATGCTTCGACCTTCTTTCTGCAAACCATCACTCTGATGATGGTGGGTCACTTGGGTAAACTTGCTCAATCCAGCACTGGGATTGCCATCTCTCTCTGTGCAGTCACTGGCTTCAGCGTCATTGTAAGTCACCTATTGTTTTACACGTACAGAACTTTCCGGATTAACAGCTTCATCTTGTATCGTGGGGTTTATACCTTTGTTTAATGACTAATAACTGGATTTTATATCTTGCATTTTGTACTTCCTTAACAGTTCGGAATGGCTACTGCACTTGAAACTTTATGCGGGCAAGCCTATGGGGCCAAGCAATATAAGAAGTTTGGTGTTCAAATATACACCGGCATCTTCTGTCTTCTTTTATGTTGTCTTCCTCTCTGCGTGTTGTGGCTTAACTTGGGTAAGCTATTGGTTTTGCTTGGTCAAGACCCTATAATTGCACATGAAGCTGGCAAATTTGCAGTTTGCTTGATTCCTTCTCTCTTTGGTTACGCAATACTTCAAGCTCTGGTTCGATACTATCTTATGCAGAGTTTGATCATTCCTCTTCTACTCTCTTCTTCATTTACTATCTGCTTCCACATAGCTTTCTGTTGGACAATGGTTTTTAAATCTGGTATGGGTCGCTTTGGAGGAGCCTTTGCTATTGGTGCTTCATATTGGTTGAATGTGATCTTACTTGCGTTATATATGAAATTCTCCGGTTCATGTGCAAAGACTCGGGTTCCAATTTCCATGGAACTTTTCCAAGGCACTGGAGAGTTCTTTCGCTTTGCTATTCCCTCTGCTATAATGGCATGGTATTCTTCTTTCCCACACAATAGGGTTGCTTATAAATTTCATATTACATCATGAATGGTATGATATGTTGATATTGATGTTGATGATTGAATATTTCAGCCTCCAATGGTGGTCATACGAGTTAACTACTTTGCTTGCTGGTCTTCTACCAAACCCACAGCTTGAAACTTCAATCTTAGCCGTATGGTATATTCTTTTTTCTAAATATTTCAACTTCTATAATCTATATAAAAATAGTTCCTTTAGTCACATAATGATCACATGTTATGAGTTCCCTATACCTTTATGTTCACTGTACCTACCACTACAACAATACATCGCTAACTGATTCTTTGTACAAATTTGAATTTTACGTCCAGTGTATCAATGAACATTACAATCTATTCGATACCAGAATCAATTGGCTCCGCAGCAAGGTATGCATCGCAAAACACCCATAATTAATAGCTCCTTTAATACGAAATTAAGTCGCACTATTCATACTTAAAGCGTAGTGACTTTTTAGATTCATAATCAATTCTTTCTCATTGGTAACTCTTGTGATGGTTTGTGTTATTTAGTGCACGAGTTTCAAATGCATTAGGAGCCGGGTGTCCGCAAGCAGCACGGGTGTCTGCCTTATGTTCAAGGATTCTGGCAACTTGTGAGGCTCTAATAGTGAGCTCAATTGTCTTTGCGAGTCGGAATGTTTTGGGTAATGTTTTTAGCAATGAGCCAGATGTATTGGAATATGTCACAAAAATAGCTCCTCTGTTAGTTGTATCTGTCTTTGTGGACTCCTTACAAGGGACCCTTACAGGTAAAATCTTTCATTCTGATACTATTCACAAACAAAACATTATTCTTATTGTATACTAGAGATTAGATTTTTCGTGTGCCATGAAATCTAATCCTCTTCCAAAATAGGGATTGCCAGGGGAAGTGGATGGCAGCACATTGGGGCATATGTGAATTTCGGAACTTATTATATTGTTGGCATTCCACTTGCTGCAATATTGGGTTTCTGGGTAGACATGAGAGGAATAGGCCTTTGGATTGGAATAACAACTGGTACACTTTGCCAAGTGATCGTGCTATTGATCATAATAAGCTGTACGGATTGGATGAAGGAGGTTTGTTCTTTACTTTCAAGAATACCATGTCAATTCATCTTGAAATTTGATGCCCGGTCTTTTTACTTCTAAACCTTTTTGTAGTGCTTATTCGAAATGTGCTATTATGGGAGAGTTTGAATTTGCAGGCAAGGCGGGCTAGGGAGAGGACATTGCAAAGAGCTTTGGCAGAAGAACAAAGTGTTTTCGTGTGAGCAATCGGAGTGTAGTACTTATACTTGTTGGGCCAATTATCAACCTCTTTGTGCAAAGTGAGAGATATATGGACAATAATAAAGATTGGGGGGATGCACCAAAAATAAAAAAATAAAGATTTTTTGGGGGGGGGGGGGTTCATGCTTTCATACCAACGATGCTTAAAATGTCTCCATCAAGCTGTAAGGTTGAAACTTGAATCCAAGGCCCCAAGCACTAGTGTCATTTGGGCAATGCAGCTAGATCTATCAACATCAATTCGCATTGGTTTTTTTCTTGATCAAATAGTTTTTTCCTTCCTTTTACTTGATTACTTTCCGTATAAAAGTAATGTTTGAGTTAAAAATTCGTTTTAGATTGAAAAAATTCTTTTCTTTTCTTTTCTTTTTTCCGCCTTTTTACATTGAATTGTTGGTATCAATAAAAAGAAAGGAAGGAGTTAAAGCGGCTATATGACCCATATACACCAATAAAAACTGGAACGATATAAGAAAATTAGCATGACCACAATGATGACACTAGAGGCTGGAAAACTCGTTGGGTTCCTTTCACTTCCTTGCTCATTTAACATTTATTGCTTTGCTTCCCTTCTTCTATGCATATGGTCCTTCATCTCAGTGGTAACTTGACCAGTTTGAAAATAGGATATTTGTCATTTTTAACTAGAGCCAGGGCCTGAAACAATGTCTATATATAAGAAGGGTTTATGAATTTGAGCCCATATGGAACAAGCCCAGAAGGGAGACGGCCCCATAATGGCCAGGTTTTCTTATCCCGTTGTGCCTGCTATTGATGACATGCACAAACGTGGCAAAATTGCAAGATCACCTATAAATTATGCAAATTGACTTATAATTTCTTAAGTACTTCCATTTAATCTTTCGGGGTGGGATCAAGAACGACAATTCTTTCCACTTAAAATCTCATAACAAGTGAATGATAAGTTCCAGCAAAGAAGATGGCACTAAAATGCATGCTACTAATTTTCCATTAAGAGTTTTGGTAATTATAATTTTTTTCTTAGAATCTCATAACGATTTCCTTCTATTTTTAATGAGCTGAATTTACTTTTTGCTTAGTCATAATTCTTCTTTAAATGTCTTTAAATTATTAGACATCACATAACTTATTTAAGTGTGTATTTTTTTGTTTAAAAAAAAATGTAGACCTTGCTCTTGCAAGCTTAAGGTTTCCTGGATCGCTTATTATTTAAAACTTCAAAGTATGGACAGCCTCAATGAGAAATATTTCTAATTACTTCCTCCATCATCTCCTAAAATTTAAGTATCTTTTTCAAGCTTTTCTTACGCCAGAATATAAATCCTTTTTAATGATATTGGGAGTATTTTCTTTTTCTTTTTCTTTTTTGGGGGAAAATTTACCCTTACCCAGAATTTAACCTGAGCTCTGAGAAATGGCTAGCATTCCATAGATTTATGAAGAATAATATTTAAAAAAACGTAATTTTAAAATTAAAATAATGATTTAAACTACATTTCACAATAGAACAACCTAAAAGCTATGTTCTTCCAACATATTAGAAAAACACCAATATTTCAAAATTCCATTCAATTACCTAGCATTCTTTGGCATTTTGCCAATTCGGAACTTCTTTTTGGGTCTTTTAAACTTAAAGGTTATTTCTCCATCATTTTCGCTACTAATTTTGTCTAAAACAAAAAAATCAACTTTAGTTTTATTTAAACTTCAGATTTTCTACTAAAAAAATTAAAATAATGATAATATTAAAAATTAATTAGTAATTCACCAAAAAAATTTAACTTATCCTGTTCTATTTATAGGATAGAAAGAAGAATTTTTTTAGTCCTATTTGTAAGTCATATAATTAAATTTACGATATAAATGTACAATTTTACTATTTATTTATTATTATGTTGACCTTGATCTCATGAAAATTGAGTATAGTGTATATCTTTTTTTTTGGGCCAAAGAAGTATAATATGTATTAAATAGGGATAAAACTAAAAAGGATAAAATATACTTTTAGTCTTTTAACTTTACGTAAAATTTCATTTTGGTCCCTTAACTTTAAAAAGTAAACTTTTAGTTCTCTAACTCTAAAACTGTTAACAAAAACTGATGATATTGAATTCTTGAATACTAATAAAATATTACTAAATGCTAACATATTAACTTTAATATTTAAAACAACCATAATTGTTATAAAAAATCATTATTTAAGATTAACAATTTTGGGGTTAAAGTATAATTTTTAAAGTTAAAAGACTAAAATAAAACCTTGTGTAAAATTAAAAGACTAAAAATATACTTTATTAACCAGCTAAACAACTATTAAGTTTTAAGACATAGTTAATACTCTTCTGATCCTAAATATAAGATCAATTTTATAATATAAATTATATTATAAAATAAATTTTATATTTAAGACAGGAGTACGTAAAATTTAATATTTAATAAACTGACTTATAAACCGCCCCCCTCTCTCCGTGTGCGTGCGGCTCCTGGAGTCCTGGGTGTCTCCATTCCGCCTTCATTTATTGTTGTCATGAGCCACGCACACGTACCCCACACTAGCGCCCTTCCCAAGCCCTAAAACAGGTTAAAAAGTGAATCATTTATACAGGAAAGTTTTAAGCCTATATACTCCCCTGAGAATGATTTATAAATATATAAAAAAAAATTAATAAAAATAAAATTAAAAAACTTATGTGAGAATATATTATAAATGACTTATATTATAAGTAATTTATATTAAGAAATCTAAGTGGGAGTATTTTGTTTTAATATAGTATAACAGTATCCATCTAAGACCTTTCACTGTCCTTGTTCTGTTGGTTGTTTGCAATATGATAGAGACTGGAGAGAGATATCCAAATTTGGAAATTCTTCAATCACTCTCTCCCTAGAATTCATTTCTTATTTACTTCTTGAAGTGATGAGTTCCCTTCTCCACTCTTATATAAAAAAATGATCAAAATGTACTATTTATTATTTATTTATATTTTAATAATTTTTAAAATTGTAGTAATAAGTCGTGATCATGTTGCACCGTCAGATTGGGATTTTCAGATTTAGTTTCACTTAGATTTTTGATTGGTTTGATTGGGCTGATTAGCTTGCCGTAGTTATTAATTAAAACCTAATGACAAGGTTTAATCTAATTGTGTCCACGTCCAGATGCTAGTTTGGATTGTCATATAGCTTGGCCCAAACTCCAGAATGTTTAGTTTTGTGAGAGAGGCTAGGGAAACACTTTTAGGAAGCTCTCATCATCAAATAGTATCTCCCCATCATTTGCATTCTCCTTTTCATACATGGATATACTTATATAAGAAAACATATAAATAATAGTTCCTGAATAGTTTGAATACAAGGGGTAGCTTAGATATGATACAACTCATCATCCAACCTTTTCATTAACTCGGCTGGACAGTTACATCCAACCTTTTCATTAACTCGGCTGGACAGTTACCTTATGTTTGAATAGGGAGAAAATTAGGGAAGTAGTAAATTTTTGTAATTACATTTTTTTCCCTTCTCTTATATTTTCCTCCCACTTACCCCACCAAGCATAGCCTTGATTAGATAGCAAAGTTCAAAATAATCTGTTCGCTCTAGGCTTAATTGAATTTACCATTATTGAGTTAACTTTTTAAAGATCAAATCCCAGCCTATTTGGAATGACTTGTAAACAGTTCTTTAATTATGATTTTCAGAATATAAGATAAATATGTGAAATGAGTTTTGTCTTGATTTATATAAAATATATTTATAAGTACCTATGAATGTGATAGTCTAAAAGCACTGATGAGGACCTTATAAAAGATATTTCTCTTCATTACTCATTAGGTCCCTCCAAATTTGCATGAGGTCCCCACCCTCGTTCATGCATGCGCCTGGTTCCCATCCTTCCAAGCTTGCGGCCTCCTCAGCCTTCTCACACATAAAATGAGTTTACGTGTTCATCACTCTTGCTGAGCGCATCCAGATTAAATTTGAATATTGAATTTTTCTATATTTATCTTTTAAAAATTATTTTAATGTGTATAAAATCTAAAATAATGATATTCTAAAAGTTATTTTTAAAAGATTATTTTTATTTAAAAATTGCTACTTCTCATCTTTAATATAAAACCTAATTTGACTTTTATTTTAGCCTTAAATATAAAATTCTAATGCATTTTATCTCTTATATTTATGTATTTTTTTTGTTTTTTCTAAGACAATCCTTCCAATAATAATAGTTTTAATCAATAAATTTGATTAGCAAAGATATTTTAGGAAATATAATTCTTAATTATTACAAATAACTAATTTAATTTATTTTTTTAATCTATTCAAATTAGTTTTTAGGACCGGAGGTAGTATTAACTAAAAGTTTTAATTGTAAAACGTTAAAAGTGTATCTGAAAGTGTAGATATGATTATAGTGCCGACCACCATGACTTATAAAATGAGTTTAATGTGATAAACGTAACACACACCTACCACTATAAAAAAACAGACTTTAGGCGACGACTTTCGGCGGCGACACCAAAAAGTCGCCGCTGAAACTAAGACCTTCAGCGGCGACGAAAATGTCGCCGCTGAAAGTGGACCTTCAGCAGCGACTTTTTTTTGTCGCCGCCGAAAGTGGACTTTCAGCGGCGACTTTTTTTGTCGTCACTGAAAGTTCGCCATTAAAACCAAGACTTTCAGCGGCGACAAAAGTGTCGCCGCTGAAAGTGGATCTTTAGCGGCGACTTTTTTAGTCGCCGCCGAAAGTTCGCTATTGAAACCAAGACTTTCAACGGCGACATTTTTGTCGCCGCTGAAAGTGGACCTTCAGCGGCGACCTTTTTGTCGTCGCCGAAAGTGGACTTTCAGCGGCGACTTTTTTAGTCGCCGTTGAAAGTTCGCCATTAAAACCAAGACTTTCAGCGGCGACAAAAGTGTCGCCGCCGAAAGTGGACTTTCAGCGGCGACTTTTTTTGTCGCCGCTGAAAGTATAATATAATAATATATATATTTTATTTTACAATATTAATAAACAAATTCAATTTGGCTCAGCGGCAAGAAGGTTGGACACGAAAGGAGGCGGTCACGAGTTCGATCCTGGAAGAAGACACATTTAAGGTGGAAATATTTAGACGATGACGCGGCGATGAGGAGTGATGTGGCAATGACGTGGAGGTGGCTAGTGATGATGTGGCGGTCACACTTTCGGCGGCGACATTTGTCGCCGCCGAAAGTGTTTTCTGCGGCGACTTTTTTGTCGCCGCTGAAAGTGTTTTCGGCGGCGACAAATATTTTCTAAAAGTCGC